ACACACACACACACACACACACACACACACACAATCCACCCTCACATACCCAAAGCCCCCTAAATCACCTAGCCTGCACTGTTCAACAGCTGCTACTGCAAGTCTCACCTGAAGGACGCACTCCCATGACTCACTAGCGATATCTTTCGCACGTGCATGAGGCGGACAGGGACAGACTGATTGTGAACGCGCCTAATTAGCTCACGCTCCTTCCTCAAACCCCGGCGGTCACGAGCGCTTATCTGGGGCCAGCCACGCGCCCCCCTCGAGTGTGAGCATCAACTTTACTCATTGAGCATTCTCGCGCTCGTGTTCGGAAATACGCGTACCCGGAGAAAGGTTGGGAGTTCACATGCCATCGATCGTATCAGACTTGTCAGCGCAACAGATAGAAAACTGTGCCACACAGAAATGGGACACTGAACAGACAGGGCAAGGGAAACACAATATAAATCTATTTATTCAGTAGTCAATGTCTCGTTTCATTTTGTTATTATACAGTACTTTTCTTGAATTTTTTATCATGGATTTCTTGGACAATTAAAATATTGGAGTGAAGTGACCGTTATTCCTATTTCCGACCATGTCCAGCTTTCACAATTACACCTTTACTCTGTATTCTTGTAGTTGTGTTCGAGCAGCATGGTGGTACGTAGCCTCGTCGGTTACATCACAGCACTCTATGCTCTTCTTCCGGCTTTTGTGACTTTCCTGGTTGATGGTACTTAAAAGCAGTGTCGTTCTATCCGAACTCAGTAGTATCTAAGGTCAAACCACTTATCATCAGCTCTTCACCTGATAAGAGACTCTGTTCGCTGACGAGGTGAGGTGATCTCTAAATTGCTGTTCGCGAAAGACTTCCATTACATGTGAGTGTGCATAGTGTACCATTGTAAAAATATTGTGATGTTCCTATACAGTCTTTTTGTTTTTTAACTGTCGGTGCACATTGTATCATTTCTTTTTGTGCCGGCAAACCAATGGTGACACCCTTCTTTTTCTGCGCTATCTTTTTCTGTCTATTTCTCTCTCTCTCTCTCTCTCTCTCTCTCTCTCTCTCTCTCTCTCTCTCTCT